TCTGCCAATTCCTCGATTTCATAAGCATTATTCAAGAATACTTGAATAAACTGAAATTGGCCTTCCCAATTAGGGGACCATTTTACTAATACTTTATCCTTTCGATCTATAGGTAGAATTACTTTCTACACCAAATCTCTAATCGAAAACATCTTGACCTTAAATCTTTTATTATATGCTTTCGCTACTCACTCCTCCATCCTTCTCAACATTTATAAACCATTTAATCTCTCTTCATCCAAGTAGACAAAGCTCATCCATCATAATTTTCCAATAAGACTCGAATGGGATTTCGTTCTATCTTTGAATTCTATTTGTCTATAGATATATTTCGATTGGAAATACTGCATCATGTTCATAGGTCAGTCGAAAAGGTGTAGTATTGGTGGCCTCCTATGAAGATGTTCAACAAGCCCATAAAATTTGGTCTAAAGTCTTATGCCAAGTTTTTTACTTCTTCCCCACATGTCTTTTTTTCAAACCAATGACTACCTTATTTGATGCTTCGACTTGACAGTTTGTCTGAGCATAGTAAGGCGTAGAAGTCAACAATTTAAATCTCACTTCTTTGGCAAATTATTGCATCTTTCGCCCACTGAATATTGATCCTTGATCAGTAGTTATGGTCTCAAGGATTCTAAATCTATAAATTATATGTCTTTGGATGAATTCAATGACCGCCTCTTGGTCAACATTCACCAAAGGTATAGCCTCAATCCACTTAGCAAAGTAATCAATCCCCACTAGGATGTACTTCTGACTTTTGGATGAAGCTGGTCGAATCTCACCAACAAAATCTAAATCCCAGCCCTTAAAGGGCCCATGTTTTATTATCAAATGCAGTTCGCTCGCATGGACATATTGTATGCTTGAATGCACATGGCGCTTTTGGGAACCTTTGGCGAACTCTACATAATCCTTTAGTATAGTAGGCCAATACATTCCTTGTCAAAATAATAGCCACTTAATTTTATGCCCAATTTGATGTGCCCCACTATACATGTTTGACAAAGCTATATAAGCTTCACTTTCACCAAGGCATTTGAGCAAAACTCCTTCAGGCGTATTCTTGAACAATTCATTACCCACAAGCATATAACTCAAAGAACGGTACCTGGTTTTTCTTTCTACAAGTACTGTCAAATTCTTTAAGTAATATACTATTGGCTTTCTCCAATCTGTGTATACTAGGTTATCAATGACTAAAACTTCAAAGTTCTCTTCGTTTGTATAACCCAGTTTTACCCTTTCCAAATTTGATGGGCATAACTTAGTTGCCATTACCCGTCCTCTAACTTTAATCGAATCTTCTAACTTTTCCTTTGACACCTTGTATCCATAAGTAATTTGAGCCAAGTCATTGACTTCTTGATTCTTGAGTCGAGGTATGTGTCTTATATTTACAAAGTCAAACTTTCGCAATAGTTGATTTGCTATCACAAAATACATTATTAGATTCTCTTTGACACATTTGTATTCCCTTGTAATTTGTTTGACAACTAATTCAGAGTCTCCACTTATTTTGACTCTAGTTGCCCCCAATTCCAACAAAATTTCAAGGCCAACTATCAAAGCCTCGTATTCAACCCCATTGTTTGAACAAGGACCGTTGATCTTATACAATTTTGTTGGAATTTGAATTTCTAGTACTGACAGTCCAGATGTCGTATATGATGTCACAACACCAGGATCACGACATTCACAATACAATCACAACAAAACAGAACAGATGTCAAATACAATGTTAAGACATCACAGACCATACCTGACAGTTAACAAAATAAGAAATATTGTAGGTAAGATAAATTGATGAAAGTAAAATAACACCAGTAATTGTTTACCCAGTTCGGTGCAACATCACCTACATCTAAGGGATACTAATCCAGGAAGGAAATCCACTATTAGTAGTATCAATTTGAAGCCTAAACAATCACAATTTACAACTTCTCACTTAATCCTTACCCAATGCAACTTCTACCTAGGCACCTCCTAGATATGAGAACGCCTCTCACTTTCAATCACCGCAGTGATATCAAAAAATATCAATCCCGGGGAATGTCTCAAGAAATAAAAAAGAAGATTACTCTTCCAATACAAAAATACTTAGTTTTGTTTAATAGCTTAACTAAGAACAATACTCAACTATATGCTTAAAAGCTTCAAGAGTGAGATATAACTTGATATACAATAAAGTTACAATACAAACAAAGTCAAATTCTAATATCAAAGTGATAATAAAATGACTCACAGTAAACACAGTCCAACTCTACTATAAAGTGAGTCACAAATAACAAAGAACAAAATAAACCCTAAAATTCTTCTTTCAATACATGGCTTAGCTCCCAAACTAGGTTTAGAAATATCCTTTAAATAGATTTATGATATGCATGGGCTTGGGCTCTTCATTTAAATAAAACTCATATCTAAAACAGCAGTTGTGAATAAATTTCATAATTTTTCCGCACAAATTAAGGAGCTAAAATAGAAAGTTTCCCAAAAAGTCTCCAAAATCCTTTTTATGAAACAATGTACAAATCTAGTGAAGAACAAATGACCCATAAATACTCCTTGATATGAAGAATAACAGAGAATCTCTTATAAAAAAACAAATCTTTCAAGAGATAAAATCCTAACTTCTAGAATAACATGTCACGACATCTGGTGTAACATCTTTGTAAACTGATGTCTGACCCACATGTCAAGACATCTTGCTGAACATCTTTTTGATATTCATGACAGTAGAATCTGTTATGACAGTTGGTCAAGATATTGTGATATCTTGCTCAACATCAGCTATGAACCTTATTTTAACAAAATTTATGTCAATCATAAAACCATGGAACTAACAATCTCCCTCTTTAGCAAATTTTGTCTAAAACAACCAAAGCATGATAAACCTGGAGATAAAAACTACAAACATAAAGATATGTCAAGGAAATTATGCAGTTACAAAAACATGACTATTACTCCCCCTGTTTTATACAACCATTTCTCCCCCTCAAGAGGAAAACTCAAATCACTAGAAAATCCAACAAAACCTGAACACCATAGTTTCACACATTAGAGGCACATGCAGCAGAAGAAAATACGCCTCACAAAAAAACACCCCAACCATAATAACAGTTGTAGAACAATCATAGTTCTGTCACAATGCTAAGTCAACATGTTAAGACATGTGATGTAACATTAGGACACAAACCACAACCAACACTTTAACTTTACTCCCCCCTTTTTAGCCAAAATATTAACAAAACCTGGAGTAAATGTACACAAGTTAGAAACACGCATGCACACAAGCAGTAAACACAAATGAAATCACAAAAATCCAGGGCATACCCCACAAATGAAAAGAGATACAAAAGCAACTAAAGCTTTTCACTTATCTAAGTATTTGCAGGTATCCTTCAGCTCAACATAAGATGTCACAACAATGTCTGGGACATACGTTCCTGCAAACAACCCAAATCTGTAACAGTGGTAGAGATATGATTGATGGGAAACCCAACTGGAAGCCCAAATCTTGTGAAGCGCATCGTACTTCACACTCAACTTGCTAGCAGACAGTTTGCCCTTCTTTGGCCATTATTTGACCTGTTTAGGCATGACCTCATTGCACACATTCTTATCATAATCATCTTCCTCATCACCAACAGATTTACCTTAAGACACAACCTCTTAAGATTTTTTAGGGGACTCAATAGGCACATACTCATTATTAGACTCATAGTCTACCTCATTTTCTAGAGCATCAGTCTCCTGAGATGATGTTCCAATATCTTTGTCGATATCAGTCCCTTTCTTAATGATCAAGTTATCAACCACAAAAGAAGTATGAGCTATATGACTAATATCAACAACCTTAGGTTTTCACTCCTTTCTAGTTTTAATCCTTACACGATTAGCCATATGTTGATGTGAATGTTTTGGATAACCATACAATCTATAGCATAATGGTTTTATATGACCATATTTACCACAATAGTGACATTTCTAAGGCTGGAGCTTGACTTTAGTCTGAGTTTTCTGAAGTATGGCAGGATATTGTAACATTCTGTCAGACATTATGAGCTCATCATTCACTTTAGCGGGAACAAATTTTGTCACAGAGGTTTTTCTTTGATTATTCAAAGACTGATAGTTAAACCCTATACTAGTAAATCTTCCACCTCCTTCTCCAATTTAAAGAATTTCACCCAACACATCAAATCTATTTTTCAACATCCTTATGGACTTAGTCATGCTTTCAAGTTTTGAGGTTAATATGGTTACCTTACCTTGAAGCTCAGAGTTTGTGGATAGAAGTTTCTCTTTTTTATCCTGCATTTGAGTTATGATTCTCTTCTGCTCTTCACCTATCTTACACACCTCTTCACTTCTAGCACACATATCTTTGTAGGAATCAAGCAATTCTTCATAAGAGACATCCTCATCACAAGAATCTTTATCAGATTGACATCTGCCAGTGAAGACAACCGTATACTTAGTAGTTTCCTCATCATGTTCACTCTCAGAATCATCATCAAATAAACCCTTCTTTTGTTTATTGAGGTATGTGAGACATTCTGATATAATGTGACTAAAATCCTCACATTCATGGTGTTGCACCCCAAATTTTCTCTTGATTTTCCTCACTCGTATTGTTTGTGTTCAAATTAATTTCCGTTCGCATATTTGTATTTTAATGCACATTTACATTTATTTTTAATTTAATCCATATTAATATTTTTTAGACGGATATTAAAATTGTTTTTTTTAAAATATCAAAGAACATATGTGTTTTTTTTTTTTTATTCTTTATTCACCTTTTAATCACCTTTTAATTACTATTTAGTTTAGTTTTAATTTAATTAAGGAATGTATATACAAAAAATTGTTAACATATTTAGTTTCAAGGGGGGACTGTTTGGTCATTGGTTGAAACCTAGAGGTGGATTAGGTTTTGTTATACAATAGAGGGAAACGGCGGATTCGGAGGAGAAGGAAAAAAACAATTGAATTTCATGTCAAGGTTCTCTTCCTCACTACATACTCCCTACGATTTCCTCTTCTCCCTTGAACTCACTCCATCTCTTACCTCCCGACTTCTCATCTTAACTGCCCAGTTCCTCAAACATATACTCCCTCCGCTGAAACAACAACTCTTCCACTCTCCTGTTTCCGCCGTTCTCATCCGCCTCACCTTATCACTTCCGCTTCACGAACAACACCACTATCGGAACCCCTCCGTGAACCATTCACTTCCTTCAACTACCTTCTACACGACTTCTCCTTATCTCTGCCTGCCACACCTCCATCGCCTAGTCAACAACCAGCAATATCACCCTGTAACACCGAACCTCAACAGCCTTTCACTCTTCCCAACTCGCGTCTCCCATCAAACCGTATACCAGCCTTCACTACTTCCTCTTTCTTTCAACCGTGACCACCACAACCAGCTACCGAGCCAATCTTCACAACTATTCCCTTCCGTTCTCCGCCGTTTAACCATCATTGCTCGCTCTTCTGTCAGCTTCAAATCGGTAAGGTTTCGATACCATCTTGTAATTGTGATTGCTGCCAACATCTGTGATGAAACGATTTCATATGTCGTGTAGAATCTGTTATGTCGAAACCTGTGGAAAAAAATTTTAGTCATGGTGTTTGTGTGATTTTGTTTGAGTCAAATTGTTATGCTGAAAAATATGTGATAAAACTCTGTTTCGTGTTCATGTTAAACCGATTGCTGCATTTTCTATGTTGATATGTTGTGTTTGATTGTTTGAGACAAAATGATATGTTGCTGAAAAATTTGTGGTGAAAGTGTGATGTGAGTTTCGGTATCGAGACTATGTTAACGTTTATGCTCGTTTTAATTTCAATTGAAATTGTGATAATTGTATTAGTTTTGATGAAGGTGATGCTGTTGCTGCATTTATTCGCGTAGAAACTAACCGAGAAACTATTGGGGCAGCCGGTTAATTTTTATTTGAGCGATAAGTATGCCCTGTTTCCTGTTTGTTTTGATTAGAATCCTATGATCATTTGAATCGGTTCCGAACGAAGCTTGTATGACGTTGTTATTTTGTTTTGAATTCGTTTGAAATCAATGCCATGTTTTGAATCAATCAGAAGTTATGCTTGCAATACGCTCGTGTTATTCAATTTTGAGTCAAGTTTGTATCATGTTTCTTTGTTTCGATTCAAAGAGGATATCAATTTGGTTTAGGCGCCATTTGGTTTTATTTTGATTGGTAAATTCGATTATGGCCTTGTGATTGTTTCTTTGAGTTTTTTTGAACACTTTTGAGTTGAAAACTTTGAGCATTATTAAGTTTGCGTAGTGTGATGTTCGAAATTTGTTTCGGATGATTATAGCGCTTTGAGTTCAATTTATCACATCTTGAGTGATTCTAATGTTATGTCATGTTTCTCGATCCATTTTGAAGATATTTCGATGATATTTGAGTTTGAATTCGAATGAGAAATCACAATGGTGATGTCTTTGTTTTCCGGTTGCATTTGAACACCTTTTTCGGATGAATTTTGGATCGTTATTTCATTCGCGTTGTTGCTGCCCGAAATTCGGTTTATTTATTGGTTTCTTGATTGTGAATTTAATGTCGTGTCATGAACCAATTCGAATGAATCGTTGGACGGCGTTTTGGTTACATTTCATTTTTTAATTTAAACAATGAAATCTTGATTGCGATAATGATGGTTTTCCGGTAGCGTTCAATTGATTTAAGTTGAATTTCTTAGCTTTAAATTGTTCTTGTGTGTGGCTTCCCGGAATTTGGTTTGGTTGATTATAACTTGCTTTGAAATCGATTTTCCATGTTTCAAATTTGAATTGAATAATAGCATGAATTCTTGACTCTCGTTTCATTTGTGATTAGAAAATCATGCTTACTTTCTGTTTACTTGACTTTGAACATGCTTGAAATAATGTATGTGATGCTTATTTTTCGTGTTCAAGTGAGAGTAATAATACGAATTCTTGCTTCTTTTTTCATTTGTGGTTTGAAAATCGTGATGGCTTTTGAGTTTACTTGAATTTGAACCTGTTTGAAATGATGAATGCAATGCTGATTTTTGCTTTTACATTGAATAATAACTTTTTTTTCTTAGTTCTTGATTGGGAAATATTCATTTGTTCATGCAATTCAATTCAAGTTTTATTTGGTTTCAATTCTCATGCGATTACTAACTTGTTTTTGGTTTGTGTAGCTTTCAAGTAACTCAAGTGTTCACTTCATCTTAGTGTTACTTTGTTGCTTTTAGTTAATTAATTAAAAGTCGATTTAGTTATTAAAAATTAATTAATTTTTTTTAAATTTAATTAATTAACTTAATCAACTTAATCAACTTTTAATTAATTAATTAAACATCTATTTCATATTTCATTTGTTTCACTTAGCTTTGATATAGGTTTCTAATTCATTCAGACTTGATTCTTATTCCATCAGAGACTTTAGGTAGTTTCTCTGTGCTGTTGGTTCTGTCTATGTGTTTTATCTGATGTAGTGATTCTTATATGATATCTTGATGATACTTTGAACTTTATCTAACACCTTGAGTTTATCTGATGCACTTTCTCCGCTTGTGATTTATTTTCACTTGATGTGCTTTCTGTTTGTGATTTATTTTCACATGATATTTGGTACACTCTTGATTTATTCTATGGTTGTGGTTTAATCCAAAGGGATGAGAATGTTGTATTGATTTCTGTATGTCAAGTATTGGCATCTTATTTGGTCCGACCTTCCTTAACTTTTACTTTCTTGCATATAGGATAGTCTCTCATCTCTTACTTTATTCTTTAATTTTCAAAACCTTCTCATCTTTCTTTTTCAAAACTTCTTTCTTTTTAAGCTTTAATCGTTTCCATAATAAATTTTGATTTTATCAAACAACTTTTTTTCTCAAACTCCTTTCTTTTTCTTTATCAAAACTAAAATATTTAATAAATGTGATATGTACAAATACACCATGAGCCTTAAGCACACGCAGAGTACTTTGGATATGAGGCGTCTGACTCGATCATTCAAAAGTCTCATGTTATATACTTTAGTATTGTACTTATCTCAAACACTTTCAAAAAGACTAAAAAAATTTAACTCATTTAAATTTTTGTGCGTTTTAGCACCTTTTACCTTTAAAACCTTTTTCAAGATTAGACATGATTCATTTATGATTGAGATGTTATTCCTATATCCTCATGGTTGTTGACTTTTCCACTTGAGTATTAGAGGTGTTCTTAAACCCTCTCTCATGTTGGTGTGTAGTTCTTCTTTTTTATACCTTGTGGGCGTTTAGACGAGTCTTCTCCTTAAAAATGATGACTTGTCTCTTCATTTAAAAAATTACGAACACATAATTTTGTTCTTTTTGAGAAGAACTACGAGTGTTTTGATCCCTTATTGCATGAAGGGGATATGTAGGCACAAAGGTTTGCAATTGCGGTGGATGCAATAATAAAAAATATTTTTTTTGTTTGTAAATATTCATTTATTCATTCTCTTTAGCAAGTTTAAGCTTTAGATAATACACTCTCTGATTTAGAATAAACAAATTAGAAACTGCAGAGTACCGTAGATGCTTAAGGTGTTAATACCTTTTTTTTACTCAATTAGTGGCTTAGACTCAAATTTTACTGCTATATTTTTGCTACAGTGCGACACATGGCACTACTTGCCTTTACCTTGATTTAGCTTTTGACCTGTTCTTTTTTTTTATTTTAAACTCACTGTTCTTTCTGATGTTAGATGAGATGTTCTTGACATCTGGTCTAAATCTTTTATCTACTCTCCTCATTACTTGGTTGAATTGCCTCTCAAGTAACACAATAACATTAGATAACCCTTCATCAGTATTCAGGTTATATTTCTTCTCTTCATCTACAATGTTGGAGACAAAAGTTATGCTTTTGTTCTTATTTTCAGATTTGTCATTGATAGTCAACTTAAAAGTTTAAAGTGACCCAATAAGCTCCTCCACTTTCATGTTGAAGATGTCTTGGGCTTCTTCTATAGTTGTGATCTTCATGAAAAACTTCTTAGGCAAGGACCTGATTATTTTTCCATCAAGCTTCTCCTTTGACATCTTCTCTTTTAAGTCACTAGATGAATTAGAAATATCAAGAATGCTCATGTGAAAGGCATGAATAGATTCATCATCCTTCATCCTGAGATTCTCAAATTGAGTAGTGAGAAGTTGAAGTCTTGACATTTTCACCTTAGATGTGCCTTCATGAGTGGTCTTGACCCAAGAATCATTGGCCACAGTACATATGCTTATCTGAACATATTTTTATCAACTCCATTGAATATGACATTCAACGCTTTTAAGTTTCCAAGAGCACATTTATTTTCTATATTAGAATAGTTCTCTTTTGGCTTTTATTCAGTTGTACCTTTCACCACAGGATGTTCCCAACCTTTGATAATTGCTTTTCAAGTTTGGCTATCCGTAGATTTTAAAAAAGTCATCATACGAGCGTTCCAGCAATCATAGTTGGTGCCATCTAAAATAGGCAGTTTGTTAACAAACACTCCTTTCATAATATTAGAAAATGTCTTCCATGGAGCTCATCCATTAAACAGAACAGGGTGTCTGCCTTGATGCCAATTGAAATTCTGGTACTGACAGTCCATATATCGTATATGATGTCACGACACCAGGATCAGGACATTCACAATACACTAACAACAGAACAGAACAAAACAAGTATCAAATACACTGTTAAGACATCACATACAAGACCTGACAGTTAACAAAATAAGAAATATTGCATGTAAAATAAATTGTTGAAAGTAAAATAACACTAGTAATTGTTTACCCAGTTTGGTGTAACATCACCTATATCTGGGGGCTACCGAGTCCGAAAGAAAATTTACTATTAATATTATCAATTTAAAGCCTAAACAATTTCAGTTTACAACTTCTCACTTAATCCCTATCCAGTGCAAGTTATACTTAGGCACCTCCTAGATATGAGAACCCCTCTCACTTTCAATCACTGCAGTAATATTAAATATTCCCAGTCCCAGAGAATGTCTCAAGAAACCAAAAAGAATATTACTCTTCCAATACAAAAATACTTAGTTCTTCTTAACAACTTAACTAAGAACAATACTCAACTCTATACTTAAAAGCTTCAAGAGTGAGAACAATAATTTGATATATAATCAAGTAACAATACAAACAAAGTTCAATTCTAATATCAAAGTGATAATAGAATGACTAACAATAAACACAATCTAACTCTACTATAGAGTAGATCACAAATAACAAAGAATAAATTAAACCATAAAATTCTTCTTTTAATACATGACTTAGCACCCACAAATTAGGTTTAGAAACATCCTTTAAATATCTTTATAATATGCATGGGTTTGGGATCTTCATTTAAATAAAACGCATATCTAAAATAGCAGTTGTAAATAACTTATATAATTTTCTACACAGGTTAAGGAGCTAAAATAGAAAGTTTTCCAAAAAATCTCCAAGATCATTTTTATGAAATAATGCACAAATTAGTCAAGAACATATGACCAATAAATACTCCTTGATATGCGACAAGTTGTGCATTTAAGAATAGCAGAGAATCTCTTAAAAATAAAATAAGTATTTCAAGAGATAAAACCCTAACTTTTGGTATAACATGTCACGACATCATGTGTGACATCTTTGTAAACCGATGGCTGACCCACATGTCAAGACTTCTGGCTCAATATCTTTCTGATATTCATGATAGCAAAACTTATCATGATTGTCAGTTAAGATGTTGTGACGTCTTGCTCAACATCAGTTATGAATCATGTTTTAGCAAAATTTATGTCAATCATAAAACTATGGAACTAACAGAATTTTATTAGGAGAAATAGTTAGAACACTAATATATATTCCATCTTTATGGCTATAACCATCAAAATATAATTTCCA